ATCTTTGTGATTCTTTGATTTTTCTTGCTGATGTTTTTTGTTCGAATATTGTAGAAAAGAGAGGAAATTTTGCAAACCGAAGGAAGAAGGGTTTTATAGAAAGTTTCAATTTTAAACCCCAAGTCAAAGCCAGGGTTCCAGCAGCTAGCATCTTAGTTACCTGCATAAATATTGGTTCTGGGTACATGCAGAGCAGAGCTTAGGAATACTACAAAAAAATAAAATTAAGCTCTATATATAATAGTATTATGAAGTTAAATATGAAATTTTTGTTAAAAAAAATAATAATCTTCCTTGGATTTCAATGTGCATTCAAAGTGTAAATGAGTATAATTATGGCTCATTGGCTTGCCAAGTCTAGGGTTTCATTCACTGTTGCAGGACCACAACTACAACTCTTGATGTTTTTCATTTTCAATAAAGTTTTTGGATTTTCTACAAGTTTAATTTGTATTTTCAAAAACTCCTGACTGGATTATCTTATGAAGTAGTCATTAATCTCAGTCATGTGCTCTGATTTCACCTCTTAAAAGTTAAGGGTTACTAATTAAATCAGCTCTTCTCACTTTGAATTTTTTTGGTTTTTATATAAATATCCCTGGTACGAATCATGCCTCTGATCCTCATTGAAAATATCATTCCTTTGAGCTTAATTAAGATACTTTAATCACAGATTAAACAAAGTTGAACTGCTCTCAGAGAGAGATGATTAATTAGATGATTGATAAGGTCAATATATACATATATACTGGCAAATATATGGCTGAGTCAGAGATCAGTCTCCAGCTTTATCATCAATTCAATATTACCGCATTCAAATGAGAAGACTTGTTACATGGAAAGAATCCCACGTCCAAGAAATAAAGGTAAACATGTGGGTTTAAAAATAATATGGTTACCACTCCATCTATCACTAATTAATTTTTGAGCTGGATGCTTGGTATTAGAATCCATCGTCATTACTTGAATCTCATAATATTAGACCTACATATAAGAGATGTGTGTTAAGTAGAAAACTCTCATTTCAAAGCGTTAAAAGGAAAACATAACAAGTCTCCAAAGTTCCTTATTAATTAATCATAAATATTTGAGTTGAGTTGAACAGAAAGGCATTGTTTACAATGAAGCATGAGCAGGAAATTAAGAGCTTGAGGAACGTGGGCAAGTGATTATTGAATGGGATTGCTAAAGCATACATATTATGTTTAAAATTAACAATGCATTTTAACATAGATTTGTTGGAAAGGACG